CTGCACAGCACTTTCACAGTGGGCCCATTGACACCCTCTCCCACATGAGATGGGTATACTCCTTTCATTGATGAGGAAATTATGGCTTATCAGTGTCAAATGGCTTGTTCAAGGTCACAGCGCAAGTCAGACTGAGACAGGCTGGAATCAAAGGCACTAGAGTTAGGGAAACCTTAAAGGGCAGAGAACCCAGATCTCCTGGTCTCCAGTCCACAATCCTCCTGCTGCAAAAGAATCATCCCTGGTTATGGGGTTAGACTACCTGGGGTTACAGCTCATCCTGACCATTTACTTGAGGGTCGCCTTAAACAAGTCATGTTTCCTCTCTGAGTTCAGCCTCTTGACCTCTAAAGGGGGGATAATAACAGTGCCTGTCTCATACGGTTGTCGTGACAGTTAAATGAGAGAGTATTAAAGCATGGGGCTGCCACACATAAACGCTCACAAATATTTATTAATATTTTTACTACTCCCATAGCAAGGTACAATAGATTTGGCCAAGTTCTACCTTAACACAGGTCTATCACTAAATGTTTTGTGATTCCCCTAAAATAACACAATCATTTTTTTATGTGTGTGTGAGAAAGATCAGCCCTGAGCTAACAACCGTGCTAATCCTCCTCTTTTTTTTTTCTGAGGAAGACCGGCTCTGACTAACATCTATTGCCAATCCTCCTCCTTTTTTTTGCCCCAAAGCCCCAGTAGATAGTTGTATGTCATAGTTGCACATCCTTCTAGTTATGTGCAATGCAGCCTCAGCATGGCTGGAGAAGCGGTGTGTCGGTGCGCACCCGGGATCCAACCTGGGCCGCCAGTAGTGGAGCACGTGCACTTAACCGCTAAGCCACGGGGCTGGCCCAACACAATCATATTTAAATCCTCTGTTTGTGCACATATTATGCACTCTACCTGGAAAGACTTTCTCCCCTTTTTCTGTAGGTAAGCTCCTACTTATCCTTCAAGGCCCTGCTCAAATGTCCCTTCCTCTGTGAAGCCTTTCTGGATTCACCCAGGCAGAGTTATTTATCCCACTTCCAGGCTCCCTTAGCACTTTGTCCATGTCTCTGGTGTAGCAGTTACCTCTGGACATTATAATTTGTCGGGTCTTAATCTCTGCAGACTGTTTCCCTGCCCCCAGCCCAACTATACTGTGAACTCCTGGGGAGGGGGGCAGGGGCAGTGATCATCATCAATGTGTCCCCAGTCCCTCGCACAGAGTCTGGATCTGGTAGAGGCTCAGAAAAGACAAGTTAAATGGCTGAAAGGAGGAAGGAATGAAGGAATGATGAATGAATGAATGAACAGAGCCCTGGGGTTCAGTCTATCCTCTTACTTCTTAGAATGCTCCTTACATGCTTCTGAAACACGGGGGAGCTAGCTTCGTTTTTAATGCATCAGTTTCCTCAGTGTCCATGCCTTGGTGTTCCCACACAGCTGACGTGCGCTGTCAAGTGGGGGCACTGAGCTGGACGAAGTCTAGTCCCGGAGTTGACTTCTGAGGAAACAGAAAGTGTGGAGAAGAGACTGAAAGATCCAGTGCGGTCTGCTTCACTGACTTGACAGGCTGGATTATTCTCTCCTCTCCACTGCCTGGAGTACGTACGCTGTGAAGAAGCGCTTCCTAAGGTCCGGCCTAAAACCCCCCATGGCCTTACCAGTGGGTAGAGAGAATAGACCACATCCAGACATGAAAGAATATGGTAGCCATAGTGAAAAATGCTTAATGGTGAACTGAAATCTGAACAATCCCATCAGGTTTTTAAAAATAAAACTATGCCTTCCTTTGGTTGAGGACGTTATGATTTACAAAGTGCTCTTGATTATATCAGGGCCTCCTTCAGTCCTCGGTACCCCTCAGAGAGCTGGGCCAGGTCGGCCGGAGTGGCCCAGCATGCCAGGGAGAGATCCAAGGCCCAGAAATTGGGGCATTGGCCAACAGCTACCCAGAGGCAGCCCCGCCCTGGCATCCTCGTCCTGTGGCTCCTCCCTGGAGCTCATCCTCTGCACCTGGTTGGCCTTTGGCCCAGCACTCACCTGATGGTTCCTGAGAGCAGGACGGGATCTTGAGGGATAACTGAGAGCCTGGACCGCAGGTCCTCCAGGCTGACGCTGCAGATGTCCACGCCATCGACGAGAATCCGGCCTGCCGCGGGCTCCACCAGGTGGAAGAGAGCCACCCCCAAGGAGGACTTCCCTGTTGGGCAAGAACAAAGCGGGGCCTCAGTTTCCTGAGTCTGCACCAGGGGCAGCACAGGTCACGCCTGGTGTTCGCACCTGTCCTGCTCTCCTCCGTGGCCCATTCCTCATCATGCTGAGCCCTCAGAGGGCAGAAGAGGGCTGGAGGCTCTGCTCCAAGTGGTGCCCTAAACCATGAGCAGCTTTCTTACAGCCCAGATCAGAGGGCAGGAATGGAGCCCCTGGACTAAGTCCAGCCCACGTGGGTGTTTTGTTTCATACACACGGTGTTAGTGTTGTCTTTAAACTCTTTGCCAGCATTAAAACATCCAAAGATCCGACATACAAGAATTCAAATTGCATGCTTCTCTTGAAACTCAGCAGAACCAGCAACACTGGTCCCATGTCCTCCAGGCAACAAGCGGTCGGAGCCGAGGCAGCTGCTCCCTGAGAGGGAACAGTGAGCTCCTTCAACACACTGCCCGCCCACCCTCCTTCCATCATACCCAGACCCTCTTCACTCATCTCTCTTACTTGCCAGCCCCAGAGGCAGAGAGATTTCAACCTCTGCTCTAAAAGATAAGGTCAGTGGGGTGGATGCTGTGAGTCTTGTTCACCTTCATGCTCCCAGTGCCTGGCAGAGAGCAGGTGCTCAAGAAATTCCTGCTGAATGAATACAGTCAACTGGACCAGTATCTACTGAGACCTGCTCTATGTCAGACCCCCGCCCTCTCAGGCCACCTGCAGGCGAGAGATGGAAAGGGAAGAACACACTCGAGAATACAGCTGGGAGCTCCTCACCCTGCAGCAGTGCAAGTGCTGCAGGGGCCTAAGGAGGCGGAGACCATGAAGATCTCGTCATCCTGGGGGCCTGCCTAGAAGAAGCAGCTCTGGGAGCACAAGGGTGGGGCGCAAACCCCACAAACAGACTGAGTAGTGTTTCTGAACAGCGTCTTTGCACAATGCAAAAAGTGGGAGTGAGTGACACTTGGGCCAGATCTGTGAGAAGTGATAGGAGAGGAAGGGAAGCAAGGGAGTCTGAAAGCAGAGGGGGAGAAGGAGGAGGCTGGTAAGAGAGGTCTAGGAAGGGAGGAGGGAAAAGGGGACCCACATTGCACTCCTGGACCTTCTCTCCGCCCTCGCAGAGCCCCTGCACTGCCCCTGCTGGAAGCCCTCCCAGGCACCCTGTTGGCCCCTGAGCCCAGTCCACCGGAGCTCAAGGACCCACCAACCCTGGGACTCTGTGGAACACCTCCCCCTTATTCCCTCCATGGCATTTGGCACAACTGCAATTCTCTTGTTTCTTTGATGACTTGTTTAACATCTGTCTCCTCCACTGGATCCCGTGGCAGCAGGGACGCTGTGTTTCGTTCACCAGGTCTGGCACAGGGCCCACCACAAAGTGAGGGCCCATCGTATCTGAGGGGTCACTGAGCAAACACATGTGCAAAATAGCTCTGACACCCAGAGGCCACGGTTGAGGATAGGGGATGCCCCAGGAGGCTCAGCTCACCAGAGCCCGTCCTTCCCACGATGCCCACCACTTCTTGGCCGTGAATCGTCAGGTTGATGCCATTGAGGACAATGAGTGTGTTGTGTCTGTATTTCATCTGATAATCCTGGAATGTGATTTCCCCGCGCTGTGGCCACCCATGGGGACAGTTCCTGCCTTCTCTCTGTAAAGGAGCCTCAGGGACACACATTTCGTTTTTGAAGAAAGAAAAAGAAATCAATAGTTAGCATTACTCTTTGCTCATCCCCTGCTGAGCCGCTGGCCTCCAGCCATTGGGTGTGTGACCCACCCCAGCCTGCCCCGCACCCTGGTAAAGTCATCAGCTGTGTGACCCGAGGAACACCCCAAGAGGAATGTCCCACCCTCCATAAATGCACATCATTTTATCTCCAAAGAGTGAGAAACCTTAGAGCTAGCTTCCTTGTATTAACGTGGAGAACTTTGTCTAATTTGCTGTGTGAGGCTCTAAAGAAATAGATCCCAGAAGAATGATGATAAGGGCAGCAGAGCTAACTGATCCCATGGGGCTTGTTTTACAGCTCAGAGCCCTTCTGCAGACTTATCCCCTCTCTATCCTCATCCTGTGAGCTAGGCAATTTTAGATGCATTTCACAGGTGAGGAAAGAGGGGCTCAAACAGTTTCAATGACTTGCTGAAGGTCACACAGCTGGTGAGTGGAGGACCGAGGACTCCAGCCCAGGGCTGCCTGACTCCACTCCCATGACTCTGCATCAAGCACAGCTGGGTGTGTGGGGAGGAAAGGACGATGGAGAAGAAGGAGGGTCACCTGGCTGCAAGTCCCAGCTCTCCACTGCTGGTGCAGTGTCACCACAGGGTCCCTCATTGTTAAAGATCTACGATTCACAAATTCCACTCACGGCACAGGGGGAGGAGACCTGGCTTTAGAGGGCTCTGCAAGCCCTGACTGTATAATTTAAGCACAATGCTCAACCTGGACAAGCCTCAGTTATTTATTCTGGGTAATGGGATAATAACTCAATCAACCTTATAAAATTGCTTGGTGATTCCATGAGATAATCTAGATGTAGTAACATTGAGCATTTACTAGGGGCCAGACACTGCGCCAAGTGCTTTACATATTACATCATTTAATCTTGGTAATAACACAATGAGGTAAATACTGCGATCTGTCTCATTTCCAAGATCGGGAACAGAGAGGCTGAATGAGTTGTCCAAGGTTTCACAGCAGATTCAAGTGGAAAGCCTGGACTTGAACCCCGTGATCTGGCTTCAAAATCTGTGCTCTTAACTAATATGACATAAATAGAAGCAATAATAACGACAATGAATATTGTCATTATTATTATTATTATACCTTGGCAAACCTCTCATTTCTGAAAAGACCAGATTATTCCCTCTACATCCAGGAATGCTGTGAGGGATGTGGTCAAAATGAGCTGATGGGTATGGACAAGCTTCTGAGAGATGATATACAAGGTCCAGGGAAGATGGACAGAAAGGGCCTGGAGCCCTGGTTGTCTCCTGGGAAAGTCTTGGGGCCCCCGGGGTGCTAGGAGTTGCAGAGGCCACAGAAGCTGAGCCTCAAGCTTGGATGTGGAGCCTTCCAGAGGTCCCCACACCAAGCCCAGACACGAGTCCCACCTTGAGGTACTGCAGCATCCTCTCCACAGCCGTGAAGTATGCCTGTGTCTCAGAACCAGTCCGGGTAATGGCCTGGAAGTTGCCCCCCAGCTGGAATAAAAGAACCATCAGGTCAAGAGGCTGCTAGGGTTGAGCTCATCTCTCAATGCTCCTGAAAACCACTAGTTGCCATTCCCCTGAGCGACTCGTCAGACCAAGACAATTTCCCTAGAAGAATGGAGCAGATGCCTCTGGTGCTCACTGAGCCCACTTTGGAGGTTGGCTGCAGCCGCCTGGGCGGTTCTGGATGAGAGCTCCACCTACACTGTTCCACCTCAAGTACCCTCTGCTCAAGGCCCTTTTGAATTGGTTCTATGACTTGCAACCAGAAGCATCTCTAGTATTTACACCTCTTAGGGCTGCAAAGCAACATGGCATGATCCCTGCCTCCCAAAGCTGGAATGTAATTTCCTCAAGAGTGCATGCAGCAGTCAGCAAGGTACCAAGTTGACCAGAGGATAGATCCTATATGGGGTCATGGGGCCAGAGCTGAGGGACCTGAATGCAGGCTCCACAGCTTAGGTTTGGTGCATAAGGAGAGAGGGAGCCTCTGAGAGTTCTGAACAAGGCAGTGACATGAGGAAAACTGTAATGAAAATTCACTCTGGAGTGACACCAGCATTGTGGCAGAGTGAGTCATTCCCTTTATCTCTCCCCTCTACGTTACAACCAATTAGACATCCACTGCCAACAAAGAACCACCTACACAGCACAATAGGACACCTAAGAGATCCATGAAGCCACACATCTGAAGGTGGGTGGACTGGACCTCCAGGAGGCAGTGGAACTAGGGGAGCCCTCATTCGCTCCCTCAGTAGCAGCGATCCAATGCACAGATCCTCACATCGGCGAGCACATCTGTGAGTAGAGACGGGGCAGACACGGCACATTCAGCTTAGGACTTGCCCCCACTCCAGCAGTGGGGTGTGATGCACATGCTCTGAGAATTCAGGACACATGGTGGAGCTGGTGACCTAGCACTCTCCCCCTCCCACAGCAGTGGTCCAGTCTTTCCCACAGTGGGGACAGTATACAAAACTTGGATTTTCCCAGCCAGAGTAGGATGCCCTGACCATAGTTTTCAAAACACACTGGCTTGCACAAGAGACCAGAGGCTCCATGAGCGAGCAGCTATGACAACCTCTCCCTGCTTAGCATCTGACCCAGTTCCCTCCAGCAGAGGCAGGTGGAACCTATGACCAGAGGCTCCAGGAACTACAGCAAAAATGGTGACACAGCCCCCAGTGCCACAACTCCAACACCATCTCTACCAGCATTGAGGGCTTGAGAAAAGTCCCTGGGTCCACAGGCCCCTGGCAGCAACAGTGACACTCATGAACCCAGCACCACTGGCAGTGGTGCTGCCAGCACACCCACATAACTTGGAAGAAGAAGCACAGGTGGTGCATGGGGCAGCAGTAGCTGAGCCCCTGGAGAGCCAGTGGGGGAGCACAAGACCCAGGCGACCTGGGAAGCAGGAAAACTGCTTGCAGCCTGGTGACCCTGGTAGGGACATCTGAGACTGTAGTGTCATCATAAGAAGCAAGGCACCAGCAACCTCAGAGGCATAAGCAGCACAAGGAGGGCACTGATGTCGCCTCTAGCAGAAGCAATGGAGGCTGGAAAGTGCAGGCTCTCAAATACAACCAGAAGCAGCTCAGAACCAATGTAACCAAAGCCTTACCCAAATAAGAAAGGTGGTTGGCATCACAAATGTGCCAGCAGAGGATCAACTCATCAAATACCATGAAAACCTACAGTAACACTGAACAACAGAAAGAAAATGACAACTTACCAGAAAATAAATTTAAGTCTCAGAAGATTACAATCTAACTGACAGAGAATTCAAAATGGCTGCCATGAAGAAACTCAACAAGTTACAAGAAAATTCAGAAATACATTTCAATGAGCTGAGGAGTAAAATTAATGAACACAAGGAGTACTTCACCAAAGAGAATGAATCTGGAAACAAAATCAGATAGAAACTCTGGAGATGAAGAACACAATTAATGAGATGAAAAATAAAATAGAAAGCATTAAAGATAGAGCAGACCATGTGGAAGAGAGAATTAGTGAGCTCAAAGATAGAAATCTAGAAATGATTCAGGTGGAAGAAGAAAGAGAACTAAGATTCTTTAAAAATGAACAAATTCTACAAGAAATATCCAACTCTATGAGGAAAAGTAACATAATGATAATAGATATCCTAGTAGGAGAAGAGAGGGAGAGAGGAGCAGACAGCTTATTCAAAGACATAATAGCTGAGAACTTCCCAAACCTGGGGAAGGAACTGGATATATAAGTACATGAAGCTAATAGAACTCCTAATTATCTCAATGCAAAAAGACCTTCTCAAGTCACGTTATATTAAAACTGTCAAAAGTCAAGGACAAAGAAAGAATACTAAGGGCAGCCAGACAGAAGAAAATACCTTACAAAGGAACCCCCATCAGGCTTTCAGCAAATTTCTCAAGAGAACCCTACAGGCTGGGAGAAAGTGGAATGATATATTCAAAATACTGAAGGCAAAAACTATGAGTCCAAAATACTCTATCTAGCAAAATTACCCTTCAGATATGAAGGTGAAATAAAAGTTTTCCCAGATACACAAAAGCTGAGGGAGTTCATTGCCACTAGACCAGCTTTACAAGAAAGGTTGATCAGAGTCCTCCAAGCTGAAACAAAAAGGCAAAGTTTTACAAAGCTTAGAACAAGAAGATAAATAGACAGAAATAATCTGAAAATTGCAGCTCTATATCAGATAGGTTAGTAAACACTTAATTATAAAATAAAGGATAAAGGGAAAGAAAGTTTCAAAAATGACTATAACCACTTCAATTTGGTCACAAACTGACAACATGAAAAAGATTAGTGTCAAAAAAAAAAAAACATAGAAGGGGAAGAGGAAAAGGATGGAATCTGCATAGGCTAATGGAGATAAGAGGCTACCAGAAAAAGGACTCTCTCATCTATCAGATCTTTCATACAAACCTCACAGTAACCACAAAACAAAAAGTCAGAGCAGTCACAAACCATAAATAAAGAGAAAAGTGGTGAAAACATCACAGAACACTACCAAACTGAAATGGCAGACCAAAATACAAGGAAAGAGAAACAATGGAAATACAGAACAACAAGAATACAAAAGATAAAATGGCAGTACTAAGGCCTCATATTTCAATAATCACTCTAAATGTAAATGGAGTGAATTCACCAATCAAAAGACACAGAGTGGCTGGATGGATTAAAAAGAAAACTCAACAATATGTTGTCTCCAGGAGACACATCTTGGATCTAAAGACAAACATAGGCTCAGAGTGAAGGGATGAAAGATACTAAGCAAATGGCAACCAAAAGAAAGTAGCTGTAGCCATATTTATATCAGACAAAACAGACTTCAAGGAAAAAAGGTAACAAGAGACAAAGATGGACATCATATAATAATAAAATGGACATTTCACTAAGAAGAAAAATACTTATTAATATATATGCACCTAACACAAGAGCACCACAGTGTGTAAAGCAATAATTAACAGACATAAAAAGAGAAATTGATGGCAACACAATAATAGTAGGGGACTTTAATGCCCCACCTACATCAATGGATAGATCATCCAAACAGAAAGTCACCAAGGAAAGAGTCGCCTTAAATGAAACACTAGTCCAGAGGGACTTAACAGATATATATAGAACATTCCATCGAAAAGCAGCAGAATACACATTCTTGCCAAGTGCACATGGAACGTTATCAAAAGATAGACCAGATGTTGGGAAACAAAGCAAGCCTCAATAAATTTAAGAAGACTGAAATTGATCAAGCTTATTTTCCAACCACAACAGTATAAAACCAGAAATGAACTACAAGAAAAAGCTGGAAAAGTCAAAAATATGTGGAGACTAAACAACATGCTGCTGAACAACTATTGAATCAATGAAGAAATCAAAGGGAAAATATCTGGAGACAAACGAAAATGAAAAAGCAACATACCAAAACCTAAAGGATGCACTAAAAGTGGTACTTAGGGAGATGTTTTAGTGAAACAGGCTTACCTCAACAAACAAGAAAAATCTCAAACAATCTAAATCTAACAATACTCCTAAAATAACTAGGAAAAGGAGAACAAACAAAGCCAAAAGTCAGTAGATAGAGGGAAATAATAAAAATCAGACCAGAAATAAATGAAATAGAGACTAAAAACACAAGAGAAAGGATCAATGAAACAAAGAGCTTGTTCTTTGAAAAGATAAACAAAATTGACAAACCCATAGTTAGACTCACTAGGAAAAGAAGAGAGAAAGCTCAAATAAATAAAATCAGCAATGAAAGAGGAGAAATTACAATGGATACCACAGAAATACAAAGGATTATAAAAGAATACTATGAAAAACTATATACCAACAAAATGGATAACCTAGCAGAAATGGATAAATTCTTAGAATCATACAACTTCCCAAAACTGAATCAAGAAGAAATAAAGAATCTGAATAGACCAATCACAAGCAAAGACATTGAAACAGTAATCAAAAACCTGCAGAAAAACAAAAGTCCAGGACCCGATGACTTTTCTGGTGAATTCTACCAAACACTCAAAGAAGATATAATACCTATCCTTCTCAAATTCTTCTGAAAAATTGAAGATGACAGGACAATCATTTTACAAGGCCAGCATTACCCTGATACCAAAACCAGACAAGGACGAAATTAAAAAGGAGAATTACAGGCAAATATCACTTATGAACATAGATGCAAAAAACCTCAACAAAATATTAGCAAATTGAATACAACAATACATTAAAAGGATCACACACCACCATCAAGTGAGATTTATTCCAGGGACACAGGGATGGTTCAACATCCACAAATCAATCAATATTATAAACCACTTTAACAAAATAAAGAATAAAAATCAAGTGATCATTTTGACAGATGCAGAGAAAGCATTTGACAAGATAAACATCAGAAAGCATTTGATAAGATAAACATCAATTTGTGATTTAATAAAGTTCCAACAAAATGGGTATAGAAGGAAAGTACATCAACATAATAAAGG